TGGGGTAAAGTAAAAGAACAGAAAACAAGGGGGTGGGGAATCAGCGATGATCACAGAAGCATAGAAAATTAGGGTGGGACAGGGACCTCAGGAGGTCTAGTCCAACCTCCTGCTCAAAGCAGGACCATCTTCAACTAGATTGTCCCAACCAGGGCTTTGGCAAGTTAGGCCTTAAAAACCTCCAAGGATGGAGCTTCCATCACCTCTCTGTTCCAGTGCTTTAACACTCCTAGTAAGAAAGTTTTTCCTCATATTCAGCCATCGCTGCTTGTTCTGTCATCTACCACCGAGAACAATCTAGCTCCATCCTCTTTTGAGTCCCCCTTCAGGTAGTAGCTACTACAGAGGGAAAGAGACAGGCTTAAAGACACACACACGCACACACACACGACGACCTCGTCGTTTATTTTGGGGTACAATCAGGCTAAGTTTCAGAGGCGAGAGCAGCCCTCACAAGCAGGGAACCTCTGTGGCAGTCACATCACAGTAAAGTCACAATAACCTTGGACAACAACAGGATTGTTTTAATAAAAGAAGCTCGCAGTCAGGTACTGGATGGAGAACGGAAGCGGCGATGGCGCCTAAGGAGCACCGCATGCATATGCACAGTCCAGGGACGAGTTTCGCTCGCCAGGGGCTGGGGCGCCTCCCTCCACGGGTCCTGACATTAGCGGAGCTTTTCCGGCAGGCATGTGGGAAACTGAGCCCAGTACCCTCCCCACAGCCGCACACAAGCTGGCCCCGGTCCACAGGAGCCCGACTCAGGGCCGTCACGCAGACTACCACCCGACCGACGACGCGAACTGCAGCAACACCACCCCGTAAGTGCGACCTCCCCGGAAGTGCTCGGGCCGCGCCCCGGAAGTTCTTCCCCCTCCGGCGAACAAAGATGGCGGCGGACACCAGCACGGAGTTGCTGTTTCTAGACACGTTCAAGCATCAGACTGCGGAGGTAATGGCCGGGTGGGGCCGGGCGGTCCGAGTTCTGCGGGCGGGAGGGGGAGGCGTGGGGTGGGGCTGAGGCGTCTCCCTGGTCCCCGCTGCCGCGTGCTAAACAGGGGCTGGAGCCCAGCCCGGCCCGGCCCCTCGCGTTGCTGCGGGCTCTGTCGGGCTGCGGCCAGGCCTGCGGGGTTGGTCCGTGACTCGCACCCCGCAGCAGCCCAACTGGTAGCTGGGTCGGGGGTGGTTGTCCCAGGCCGGGTTAATTCGGGGCTTCGCAGGTCCTCCCCAAGGGGGGTGTTGGGGCTGGGTCTGGTGTGGCACAAAACACTGCGGTGAGCATTAGACTGGTTGTCTCGTTTCAGACTCGGAGCCCGCCCTGCCCTCTCCCCTTTAGGTGACATGGGGATGCCAGCAGAAAGCTCCTTGAGGCTCCGCTGGCCTGTGGTTTCCCTTGCCTGTCAAATATGCCTAGGTCCCTGCTTCTGAGGTTTCCTTCATGGGCAGATCTTTCACTCAGTTGTTGAGGAGCTTAGCATCGCGTAGCCCGTTCTGTTGTAGCCACCTGTTTCTGTAAGCAGCTTTGTCATCCTGTGCGGTGATGCTTGGTCCAGGAGTAGGGTGTCTTTGCGCGGCAAGATGCTAGTGTGAAATTGCAGGTATGAACGCGCAGGAAGTTGCCAGCAACAAGGATCAAAAACAAATAGGCTCAAAAAGAAGTTGGACATTTATATAATTATTACTGGTTTAAAAATAAAAACTCATAGGATTATTCTAATAACAATTTTGGGAGAGGATATTGCAATGCAACCTTGTTGTTAGTAGTGCACTGATAAAGGTTTTTTGGGCTGATGCTGATTTTTAATGAGGCATATTGACTGATACTGATCCAATTTCTGATATGCAGCCCGTCAGCTTGAAGAGCATCTGGCTGGTAAGTCTGTTGTGGGGTGGGGAAGGGAAGGGGTATGGTTGGGGGGGCACATCCAGCCCCCTGTGGTGAGGGAAGGAATAGGGCTGAGGCAAGGCACTGCACAGCTGAGGCATGGCATGGCACGGAGTTGTGGCTTGCCTGGGGGACATGGGGAGGGGGTGGTGGCTCCTGCCGCTGTGCGCACCCTGGGAGGGCATAGGGGGCATGTGCCCCCAGATCTGCATGTGGGGCAGGCGGGGCTGCAGCTTTGGGCTGGGGCCATGTCAAGCTCTTCCTGGCAGAGGCTGGGCTGGGTTGTGCTTGGGGCGGGCTGCAGCTCCCCTGTAACCTCCCTCCTAGAACCACCACCTGCCTGCCTGCCC